TTGATTTATATCTATTGAAGCAACAGACATTTTACTATATTAGTCAATGATACATCAATGTTTGTTTCTTATCTTTTCTTTTCGTTATCTCCACATATGTAAATACATGTGTATTACTGTATTCGTCGTTATGTTTTTCAAAAGGAAAAGTGAAGTGACCTAGTTTTTAGTAGAAAATCAAAATAACGAAGTTGTCCTCGAGCAGGAAAAAAATCTTCATTATAGTTAACTAATGATATAGTGGAGGAAATATCGATGGTTCCGCGGTGATAAATCGAATAATCCTTTATGAATAAGAACTTTTTTGCGATCTCTATTCTCAAAAAATAAAACGAGTTGATTTGATTCAAAACTCATAAAAATGTTCACATTTTTTTATCTTTAGCGACTTTCTCAACACGCTATGTATTGATATTCGTTAACAAAACGTTTTAAACTTACTTGCAAAGAAATTGTTTGTATATTTATAGATACGATATATGATGATTAATTATTCATGTAGAATACAAATGAGAACTGGTTTCAGCATCTTTTCATCGATCCTAATAAAACTAACTAATATTTCTTTGTGTTATAGTCATATATGATCAATTAGTATAGGAAAGAAATAAAAATACTTCGTTACTCTTATTACTGGACCCTAAATCAAATTCAAACTCAAATTGTCAACCCGTTTGAATTTGAGTTTGGTGTATGTCTATCGAGAGCTACACCTTCACATATCCTTTTATATGAATTCACTGCGTACTACAAGAATATATTTCTCATCTAGATGTGTTTGTTTTTCTCTTCTCTTTTAATAACTTCGATAAGAATAATAAAGGAAATAAATTCAATAAATATTCATTGTTATTTTAACATCGAATTGTATTCGTTCAATTGAGTTATTGAAATATTTTCTATATTTCTCTTGTGTTACTTAAATATTAGATGAAATTAAATCTAACTTTATTGAAGGAGGATGTGGGTATTTACTTCACCAAGAGAGTTATACATAAACTCATGATCAAGTTATTTCTACGTATACCATATGATATACATTTAATTAATGCAAGAGATTCTATAATCAATGAATGACAGTTTCGCAACAAGCAGGAGCAGTTTTAGTCAATATTGTTAAGCTACGTATAAGAAAATCAGTTGATATACCTATTATTAAAACATTTAATCTTTATTTATTCGGATAAATTCTATTTTCTATCCTGTTTGTTTCAAATGAATTTATTTAAATTGACATACTCTTTCAAACATTAAGCAATCATAGAAAAACATAAATATTGCAATAGATGTGATGATTCGAGATCGTATGATTAAATCAAATTAAATAAATGATTTCTAGAAATGAAATTTCAGAGATTATTCAATAAAAATAAGATAGATAATGAAGAGAATTTATTTAAAACAAAAATTGCTTTTCTATTCGATAGATCTCTTTCGTCATTTTTCAATCTTATTAAATTTCATATAGCCTCACAGCCATTAATAACAATAAGTAATGCTTGAGTGAAAATTATTCTTCCTAATTAATGATCGATACATTGATTAACCCTTTTAATCCCGGTGAGACATACATGTCCCACCTAGCGAAAAATTCTAGTTCTCAAAAAATTTCGAATATATTTAACAAATGTTCGTAGTTAAGACATATTTGTGCGAGATTAAAAACCCTACTGAATTAGTTTTTAGGCTCCCGTTCGTACACCTCCAAGGAGGTGACGAAAATATTCCTCATCATTCCCGTAGGGGGTTATGGCTAAAAGTTAAAAATGACTTGAAATATTTTTTTAAAGTATCAATGGAAATGTCGATAATACTCAATGCTCATACAAAATATCAAGTTTTTAAGAGGTTTTGTGCATAGATTAAATCGAAGGTCTCAAAGGGTTAAATAGTATCAAATACGAAAATCATCTTATTTTCCATTCAAACCAATTAAATTATTTTAAAAAAAATCTTTCTCCTATATTCCATAGAGTCTATATTTTATTCAAATTTTATAATTAGTATAACAAAAAATTATTGAGCAAATCTTTCTAAGATTATTCATTTATAAATCATCAAACCTTTCATTTTCTACTATAGAAAAGTTTCTATTTATTGATAAATATTTTTCATCTCAATAGAAATAGTATATTAATAAACAAACTAATCTGTATTTTATTCTTTTCGTTATCTCGTCTTTGTGTTCTTATTTATAATACATGAAGTTGTATGATATGGACACAAATGGATAATAGAGTAATATGTCGAGGATAGTGATAACATTACCTCATTCGTTCGTCGTTGTAATCAGAATAAAATAAATATTTTGACAAGAAGAAAATAATCTATAGATCTTATTCTTTGATACAATATTCTATCAATTTTGTTTTCTATTTCAAAGTGTTAACTATCTCATTGGTTATTATCATAGAGTTTTTCATAAAAAACAACAGATCAATGTAAAACATCTCAAATTATTTATGTTAAAATTTTCAATAAAAAAAAATGTTTTTATAAAAGAAAAATCTTTTCATTAATATAGATTAATTTGATAAAGAAAAGTAAATGAGATGAAATTTCTCTATATTTATGTATGTTTGTTCGTATCTGTACCTCTATACAATACAATCTACAATAATACAGATTTTTGTTTCTTTTTCACCTTTAGATTAACTAACGGATAGAAGAATCTCATATAACATTTGAATGTCTGAACAATGTGGAGATACTATTAGACAATTTTTTAATTAAATATATATTTGTTTATTTTCTATAATATTTAAAGAAATAAAGTAATTCCGTCGATTATTTTATTTTAAAGTAAGAGTGATACTTTTCATCTCTATACAAACTTATTATCAACACAAAATAACGTCATTTTTCTTTTTCGTTCTGTTTCGACTATTGATAAGCATTGCAATGTAAAAAAAAGATCTTCGTTGATATTTTTCTCCTTTTTTTTCATAATCTTGTATTGACAATAAGTTTAATTATAGATTGAAAGGTTGACTATTACTTTGAAATAAAACGACGAAATGAAATCTTTCGAATCGCGTTAATGTTCTTAACAACAATTAAATATGGACTGAAAAAATTCTTATTTGAGTAAGTTCTAAAATATATCTATGCAATCTAGAAATTCATTTGATTTTTTTCATTAGTCTTCAGTATATTTCTATATCGTCAGAACATTTCAACTTTTTATGTTAAAATTCATTTTTGTTTTGTTTTGTTTTGTTTGTATTCTACATATAGATATTTTCTTGTTGAAATGATTTGGAAAACATTTAATGAATAAAATGAGACTGATTTCTATGAGAAAAACGTTGAAATTAGACGAATATTTCAACGAAGATTTGTTTTAATTTCCTACGAATTAATAATGTTGAAAATCTCTTATTGTTTTTCTTTGAATTTAAACTTAAGATTTCTCATTTAATGATCTTTATTAAACTTGTTTGATAATTGTACCAATGTTCGTTCTCTTCATATTATTTTGTTCTTATTCCATATTTAACAAGACATTTAATTCAATTATCATAAAATGAAATATTATTAGCAAAAACGTTTGAAGTATATTTAAAAGAAGAATATAAATGATTAGATGAGATAGAAAAGTAATTATTATAATAGATTCATATATATATATGAGTGAATTGCAACTTTTTGGTACAATTGGTGCGAAAAACTGAAAGTAGACCTAGGCAACTTCTGATCAGTGCATTTTATTATACTCTGTGCCTGTGCTACACAGTAAAAATTTCCCAACACTTTACCGCATATTAACTGAGATACGACCTACTCAATGTAAATGTACCATAAAAAACGTTATTTTATTGAAAAATGTCACTCTACATTTTTCAGTATAATGTAAATTTCTCGTGAACGGTACGAGACAAAGGCTGAATTTTTTATCACTAATAGAGCTTTTTGTTTTATACATTTTCTAAAAATTTGAGCTAAATCTGACGACCCATTCGAGAGTTATAAATCAGATAATTTTCGAATCGTCACTCTACAAAGTGAGTAAATATCTTTTTTTTCGAAAGTTCGTTTTTTTTGTTGAAATAAACTTGATAAGAGAGAAGCTTTTTACATCAGTTTTCTAGTTAAAGTGTTGGCTTTCTTTTTATATCATCCGCGCGCTGCCAGCTCTATCATAGGCTGAGTTAGAATCATGTTTCCGTCACTCTACATAAAAACGAAGAAGTGTCTGTTAATCAATGTGACCAGTAGATGAACGAATCAATGAAAATTCAAACTAAAATTAGTTACATATTTCGATAGAACGTCAAAAACTGTACAAAATAGATTAATTATCTCCTTTTCCTCTTGCCTCTTTATAGTCGAAAAATTTCCTTTTCTTAGCATATGTCATGAAAAAATGACATTTTTTCATCATAAATTTTTTATAACTCAGCAATAACATGAGCTAATGAGCTGAAATTTTGCACGGCAGTGAGGTGTTCAAAGCACTGTAACATATCAAAAAATCGTTGAAATCGGCTGGCGCAAACTGGAGTTATTAGCGAAATACACGAAAAATCTAATTGTACCAAAAAGTTGCAATTCACTCATATATATGTAATTTTTGTAAAGAATTATAAATATAATTAAAGATGAAATTGGAGAAGCACAAGTAAATGAAGTTTATTATTTTGGTAATTCAATTAATTCATATTTATTTATTTCTTTATTAAAGATTTAACAGTCGAATGGTATAATATTGAAGAATTATTATCTGCCAGTATAAATAATTTAATGTAATCATCAATTAATATTTTTTCTAGATTTTTCACAAAAATTTCGTATTAATGCATTTCCAAGATACATAAAAATAAAATACAAGTCAATTAAGAAATGGTGAAATAAGTAAAAACTTTAAATCAAAAGAATTAAGTGGTTAGTCGAATAAAAATTTCTTTATCGATTTTTCTCTAATTTATTTATTTATAGCGTTGGAATGTTATGATTTGGGACGTGTTGCATATACGAATGTAGATTTTTATCATAGATTAATGTGGATGCAAGAAGTACTCGATCATTTAAACAAAGAAATTAATAAAATATCTAGAAACAAAATTCATATTTTAGATCATCTTGCTTATACAACATCACAAGTACCAAAAAGATTTTTCTTTTTCTCTCTCTTTATTCTGAATTAAATTTGATATTTTTAGGATGGAAATATTGAGCATGCTTTAGCATTAACTGAAGAAATTCTTACAACTGGTAAAAAAATATTTAATTTCTTTTCATTAAAAGCAAAACATATTTGAATTTTTCTAGCTTCGAATCATGTGCGTGCAAATAATTAGAAAATTTATTATGAAACCATTAGAAGAAAATCGAACATTAACTAAACAAGAACGCAAAGATGATATGATGACGAATGATAAACAAAATTTGAAATTACTTTCAACAGTTTCACAAATAAAAAATTATAAAATAAATAATACAAGACTCGATGATTATTTTGAAGAACGTGAAATATATGACAAAACTTTGTTGACAAAATGGAACACAATTAATAGATTTCGAAATAATCTTTCTACAATTTAACTTTATCTAATTAAGTCATAAAACGTCAAGCAAAATTATTTTGTTGTTATTGTCATAAGAATCATCCATCTCTTATTTTACGTCCTGTTTAGCAAGTACAACTATTAGATAAACCAGCTATTTTTCTTTTTCACGATGTTGTTACTAATTGAGATATTGAAGAAATCAAATGACTTTCTTCACCAAGAGTATGTAATACATATATAGAAATAAGAAATATTAGAAAATCTACTAGAAATAAAATTGTCACTGTTTACAATTACAACGTGCTGTCGTTCACGATTTTGTGACTGATACTTTTAAATTAGGTAATTATAGAATTAGTAAGAGATACTGAAAAATAAAAGGTCTATTTATTGTTAGTTGTTTACACATGTAGTAAATTACACATTGTATTGTTCGGATGATTTTATTTGTTGTTGAATATATAATAGAATCTTGTTTCTATTTTGTAAAATGAAAGATCAACGAGAGATATTTGAGGATTTTATACAAATTATGAAAGTAAACAAAAATATGATTGGAATATTTTTCTCAAAAAACAATCGTTCACTGTGTATAATGTTGATTTTAAATAAATAAAATAGAACATCATTTCCGAAATTATTCAGACATGTATATATTATACTTCTTAAATGCGAATTATATATAAAAAACTTCAATGAATACGAAAGATTTATGAAATAAACGTTTCGTGCAAAAAATATCAATGAGAAGAATATAGATAAAAACTAGTATTAGTTTATTCAAGCAATCTTTAAGCATTTTTCGAGATTTCAAACATAAATATCATGGACAAAATTGTTTTGATGAAAACTTGAGTCTATCAAACTAAATTATGTATATTTCATATGATGTTAAAAATAATTTTTCTTTATTTTCATTATTATTTAATGAATATTTAATTTAAGATAATTATTTATAATTATGGTTGCAGTTAAGCAGGGTGGTAATACAAAATCCTAAAACATCAAAAGATGAACATGACAGTTATAGGGTGAGCAAAAGATACGAACTAAGAAAAAGCAAATATAATTTTTATATTTAATCTCAATGCATGTCAACCAAATACTGCTTTTGTTCCTCAAATTTCAAAGCTTTTCATGATTATTAACTGATCATAGTTATATTTATTATTTTGTATGTTATGTCTTTACCTTGAAATATAGATTTAGTTTGAAGCTTAATTTTTATTTTGTTTTTAGTGGTTGATTGAGAAATGAAGATTCACAAGTCATTTCTCTTTTATCTCGGTTAATTGAAGCTGTAACAAATATGAGTATGATATTAGAGAATAGAAAAATAAAATAATTCGATTGCAAATTATCATGTTGATGGTCATTATGAAGCATATTTTGATTTTGCACGATTAACTTATGAATATTTATTTGTCAAAGTTAGAAATGAGAGAAAGATTCTTTTTCAGGTCTTGATGCAGGTGAATTGAAATTCTCTATGAGAAATTTTATCATAATTTATATCTTTCAAGGAAATCGCATTGCTACATGGTTAATTTATGTAAGTTAATTGCATATTATTAGAAATTTGCTGTAATTATAATAAATATTTCTAATTAAGTGATGTCGAACAAGGTGGTGCAGCAGTTTTTCCTGTAGTTGACGATCATTTGAAACCAAAAAGAAGAAGTGCTGCATTTTAGTATAATGTTTATGCATGAGGTGAAGGTTTAGATAATCACTTCGTTTTATTTTTTCTGGTATATAAAATAGATAATATCTATGTTTTCAAAAGATTATAATACTTGTCATGCAGATATTTTTTTAGTTTAACTAAATAGATTGATGAACATGGTGAAGAATTTTATCATCCATGTGTTTATTAGATTCAATGGCATGAGTAAATCATCTATTGATACAAAATTAGCATAAGAATTTTAGAGATCTCAGTATATATTTAAGTTAAAATCAAATCGATAATATGAGCAATCATGCTCTTTGTCATAATGAATGTTACGATTTCGTTTCGTTAGCGTCAATTGCATTTGTAAAGGTCGAACGAGAGATATGTTTTTTTTTATTTATTTAAATAAATGAATTTTCTATTTTTTATTCAATTTAATAGAATAGTAGTTGAATGGTAAAGACTGTTATGTTTATTGTAAGATTAATGTCATTCTGATCGTTAAAAGTTAATCTTGTTAATAGAAAAAAAAAGGTATGATATGACAATTAAATGAAGATAGAGATTATGTATATCATTTGATTTTCTACAGTCAAATCAAAGTTATATGAAAAAGATTTTTAATATAAATTGTAAAGATGTATTTCATAAAAACTTCTTCATATTTTTAATCTTGATTTAATCGTATTTGTTCAAAAGCAATAGTTAGAGAATAGCAAATTTGTTTATCGTATATATAAATTGAGATATATAGTTTGAATCAATTAAATATAAAATGCGGATTCTTTTTCTTTTTTTCATCATTATGATTCAGAGAAATGAAATTGTTTGATGTTAAAAGATTTGAGAATAAATTCGCAAAACGGAAATTGTCCGTTGTATATCAGACACATATTCTTAGATTTTTTCAATAAAAACTACAGTGGACAAAAAATATCTCCGATAGAGTTTTCTCAATTGAAAAACATACTTAATCGTTTTCAACTATGATTATTTTTACAATAATAAAATTTTCGTAGTAGAGAAAGAATAGCAAATAAAATCGATTAGACAATTTTATACGGTAATCATTGAAGTTGAAAAGTGTTTAATGACATAATGTTCTATGTGAAAATATTTTAGTAAGATAAACATATTGAGAAATCATATTAATACAAATAAGCACAATGTTTTATACAAACGATTTTTTCTAAATAACAGTGACGTCCGTTGAATTATTTTTAATCAAGACTAGAATACATTCTTTCTCTTATGAATAGCTTCAACTAATTAGTTTCATATCGTTAAAATGTTTTTTTTATTAATTCATGAAAATGTAACAAAATTATTATAATGATATCGTTTTTTGTGAACTAATCCAAGTCATATGAGATTATTTTCATGAAAACTTGTTCGAATAATCATTTAAATAATTTGATTTGCTCAGTAATAATATTTTGTTGAATAAAAAGAGAAATAATTTCAATTTGACATTGTTTCTCTCACAATATCAAGATTAATCGACAGTGGATTGTCGCGTGAATATGTGACAGAACTTTGAGATAAATATGATTTTGTTTCCATTGTATCTACGTCCAACTACGATATTTTCATTGTAATTACGGGTGACTGCATCTCAATTACGTGCGTATGACAATACGATCGTAATAAGTCTTATTCAACATTGACGTTGTTGCGTGGTAAACAAGCCAATGTTGAATAAGGTTCATTGCGTCGTATTTTCATCGTAAGAGAATACGTAGAAACAGTTGAGCGATTTTGTTTTAAAAAAATGTTAAATGTGAAAGAAAAATTTTTTCAAGAATATTTTTTTTATATTTTAGTGAAGTAATGGAAATGATTTAATTATGTTCTTTATGATTATTTGAATTGTTGAAATAATGAAGAAAATATATCTTAGAAATATCTACGATCAGTGTTTCTAATAGGAATCTGAAGTAAAATACCCTTCGGTACGTCGAATGTGTAGCTAAAGTACCATTTGGCACTTTGCTTTGAATGGCAAAGTACCATACTGTGACAAACTTCAAACAAACATATCAAGAAAATATAGACAAAGTTTTTACGATTCATATATTTTCATGAAGAAATAGTTCGACAGAAAAAATAATGTGAACGAAGTAAAACATATCAACAACAATCATAATAAATACAGCTGTTTGCAAGCAAACTTGGAAATTTTTTTTTCAAGACAGTTATTTTTCTACTATAACAAATGAATATAAAACTGATTTTTCCAGGAATAAATCCTTGAGAGACATACTACATGTTGTATATATAAAATTGTAATTTCTTTCCCCTTTCGTCTATATTCGTTCAATTATATCATCGCCCAGTAATTTGAGAAGTCACTATATTTCAATTTTGTCTCTCTGAAACAGCGACATACGATCTGCTTCTACTTATTTATCGTGAATCAAATATACACCACTGAGCATTATTTATTACAAGCTTGACGAATTAAAACGAGATAGTTCACTCAAACATCAAGACAAAAATGATCGACCACGTGTTCTTGGTGAAAAAGAGAAAAAGTTATAGGTCAATATTTTTATTATAATAATAAGAGTAGAAAAAATGAAACCAACAAATACTAGTGAATTTGAACTATTTTTAACTAAAGAATTCCTTAATATTGATAATAATTTTGTAGAAAATTGTGTAATGTCGATGAAAAAACGATGTTTGTCTCTTACCGATGGAAGAGGCGAACGAATAAAATATTAAATTATGGTATTTAATATCATTAACTGTAGGCTGTCAGTTTTTACTCTAAATTTTGAGAAGACTCTTGTTTAAAGAAATATTATCTAGCAAGATGGGCGAGATCTATTACAAATATTCCAATATAATATTTACAGGAGAAATAAAAAAAGACTGATAAATTGCAGTATTTTTCAGGTGAAATAGCAAAAAAAGTGCAATATCTTTGACAAATAATTCTGAATGTAGCGAATGAAACGAGATATTTGTATAATATCTTTTTTATAAGTCAATTAAAAGAATATGAAATTATAGTGTTATTTGGTACTCTTCATGGGCTAACTACCATATTATACACTAATTCGAAAGGCACTGGTATAGGAGAAGATATTTGTAGAAGATTTCCAAGTTTTTTTGCAAAAAATTGCAGGAAATAAATGTGCTAAGATAAAAATTGATTAGATAACCTGTTTAGTAAAAAACAATATGATCTAGAGAGAAAAAAATAATCTCTACGACCTGCAGCAGATAATAAATCTCGAAGAAGAATGAACTATCTTGGTTCCAACTACAAGTAAAACGAAAAGAAAAGAAAGAAAAAGAAGAAAAGTAACATATGGATAAGCTATAGTATAACCAATAAGCAAAGTACTTTTTCATTTAACAAAGTGCCATTCAGGTACTTTACTTTTTCCAGCAAAGTACCAAATACCGTGCCTTTTCAAATTTTAACGTGCCGCCGGCACTTTGCTAACACAGTCGGCACGCGCTATTAGAAACACTGTCTACGATGATTCATGTAAGTTTTTAATGAATTGTTTCGCTTTCTTCGATTTGAAAATTTTCATTGAAACTTCATGCAAAAAAAGTCAACTAAATGAATAGACTTTCCTATATTTATTACAAAAGTAATCCATTTCTTCTTTTATTTTTAAATAGAATTTCGAATAAATTTATTGTATAGAATATATTTTAATAAAAATTCTTATATTATCGAAGAACTCAAAATAGAAATTTAACAGATTCGAACTCTATATAAAAATACTTTCTTTTGCTTCCCTCGTTAGATAACAGATTACATCTAATGTGTCATCTGCTCTGTATTCGATATTTTTAAGTCTCCTATTCCATAACATTATGTTTCTTCTTAAAATATTAAAGACGAAAAGATTTATCAAAATCAGATTAGAAAATTTTTTATTTTTTTGCTACGACATAACTCGTTTCCCTTGATTCTTGTTTATTTTCTGATTCATAGCAACCAGTGAAACGTCTGCAAATTTTGTACACCGATCTTTCTATTTCTTTGAATTTGTGATCAGGGAGTTTGACTTGTTAATTGTTGTCTTATAGCAGACTTTAGATTTTCGGATGACGCATCAAGGAATAAAACTTGTAGAAGATTCTCACGAAACTATAGAATGATTATGCTGTCTATTGCATAGTTTTCCTTATATATTATATAGCTATTCACGATTCAGTTTATCGTCAGTCACTTTTCTTTGTGGGAACTTGTAAATTCGAAAGATTGATTTCATTCAATGAGTCAACGCTGTCTTCTCTATTGACTTCTTCTAGCGACATGTTAATTATTAAAAATTTTCATTGGTTTCACACGAGAGAGCTGAAGAGATACGAAAACGAGACAAAAATGTGAATATTTTGTTCTGTTACTTGTCATATTATTGTATACTGTACATTAGAGAACGATAAAGTAACTTGAGTTATTATTGAGGTAGACGCGAGATTCGATTTACCATCTTATACGAAAGTAAAAAGAGAACGAAGAGAAACCAATAGAGCAGAAAAGAAATGAGTAAGTAGATTTATTAGAAGTTAAATTACTTTGTGAAAAAGTAAACCTTGATAAACAATACGCATTTGGAATGATAATTTTATTAAATGATAATACGTTTTTAAAGAAATAAAAAACGTTTAGATAAAAAAAATAAGAGAAAAAATCCAATTACTTCATTAGATATAAAACGTCGATAAAAAAAAAGAAAAAACATTGTCATAGCATAAAGCCATACTTGAAAATAATAATATTTGTGAACATGGTTGACGTATATGTAAAATTTTGTTTTTTTAGATTAAACATTTTCTAAGATAAAACAAGAAAAAAAACGCAGAAAAATTTCCTTTAATTAAAAGTAAGAGTCTTAAAAAAACAAAATTTCCATTGAATTCTTATTTTTATTGCTTTAAATAAAGTTTGTTTTAATGAATTTATTTTAATTGTTCCTTTTTTTATATGTTTTTTTTAATAAATCAGTGCTCCATGTAAACATTTTCGTTTTGAAATAAAATCAAATCTATTAAAAGACTTTCATCCAGAAAATAATTGTGATCATTTTTGTTTGTATTTACATATGCATCTTCAGTCATTTCTTTAAATGAAATGTTTTTCGTTTCTTTTTACATTTAGATTTTGACGTTTATGATAAATTAGATGAATTAACACGATACGAATATTTTCTTATTCAAGGTAACAAAAATAAATAAATATTATGAAGGAAGTAGAAGCATATCTACTATTCTTCGATCATTTCGTCTTTATTCATAGAAGTTATATTAGAAAAAACAAAAACTTATCTAATATTATCGATCAGAATGAAAAAAAAACGAAATTACCTTTTTGACGTCATTAGATGACTGAATAAAAATATAATTTGATAAATAATTAAGAAATGTGTTTTTAGAAGAAAAAAAAATGATATTTTCATGAATTTTAAATTCACTTATTATTGAATTTATTTTTATTGAAGATTTATCAATGTAATAATCTTGAATAAAATGTTAAAGTAAATAATTTTGATCTACTTGATTCGGATAAAAATGTGACACTACCTATACTTGCATTTATTTACCAATCACATAATAAACGGATAAAAAAAACGTTTTCTTCTAAATACATTCTATCATCGATAATTACAAGGTAAGAAAAAGAAAGGCTTGTTTTTCTACTGATTTTGTATAAAAAAAAATGTCCTCACAATCATCTGAAATTCCAACAATTAAAATAAAAGATAATGAAATGAAAGATTTATTAAAATATCTTTATCAAAATGAATCATTATTAAAAGAAAATGGTGCAATGAAATTAATTCCAACATCAAATTTTAAAAATCTATTAAAAAAAACACCAATAAATATTCCATTATGTTCAACAATTCAACAAGTTAAACAAATTGATAATGAGAATTTAATCTATTCAATAAAAACAAATGAAATTGATGAAAATAAAGAAATTCCAAAAGAAGATATTTTAATAAATGATGAAATTTTTTGGTTATTACTACCAAATGGATTTAGTACACAACATATCTCAAGTATTTCTCAAATTAATTCACAATCATTATTTTTAAAACGTGTTCAACGTGATCAATTTGATTTTCATCAATTACCTTATCAATCACTTTTAAAATTATCTGGAAAAGAATTTTGTAATCAATATTCTTCAACATTAATAAAAGCACATGGACCTGCTGCAATATTTCCTTTATCTTCAAATAAACAAAATCTTTATCAATTAAATTATCATCATGAAGGTGGGATTCGCTATTGGTATATAATTCCATCAGAAGAAAGGAAGAAATTTGAAGATTTATTTAAAGAAAATAATTCATCAAGATGTATCGAACATGATCAAATATTAATTGATCCATTATTATTTCAGAAATATGAAATAAAATATAAAAGAGTAATTCAAAATTCAGGTGAAATTCTTATTTTATCCGGAGGAATTCTTTCACAAAGTTTTACACAAGACGAAATTTTATGTGAATCAATTCATTTTGGTTTACCATCTTATTTTTCTGATGAATTTTATAAAAATTCATATTTATGTCATTGTAAATTTGAATCAAATTCACATAAGGATAAATCAATTGATTTCGATTTGTATAATTATGAAAATATTCAAAAATATATTCAGAAATATCTTCAAGTCAATACTCAACAAAGTATTTTCTTTTTATTTAAAAAATATTTCGTTAAAATTTATTTATTTTTTTAGATGAAGATTCTACATTAGATAAAGATAGATCATTTCTTATTAATATTAATGAGTAAGTTCTATTTGAAAGATTGATGTAAAGAAAGAAATCAATTGAATATTTAGAGAAGATTTCTTAATGGATACTTCGAGTACATCAATGACATCTACACAAATTCATAATGAAACTGATTTTAATGAATTATTTTCATCAGAAGATTTTTTCAATGATATTTCTATAAATAATAATGAACCTGTATCTTTAACTTCTGAACAAATATTAAATATTCTTGATATACCATCATCATCATCTAATGATCAATCAATAAATAAACAAACTTATTCAAAAACTAATAAATTATCAGTAAGTTTATTCAATTTAATTCTTTTTTTATATTTAAAATATTCTTAATAAATAGAGAATAACAAATCATAATGAATTTATAATAAAAAAAGCAACTAATAATCAATATGAAGTTGATCTAAAGAAAATCTTATATTTATCAAATTTAAATAAACAAATAACAAAAAATCATCTTCGAAATTATTTTATTGGTTCAACAAAAATTATTTTCAAACAAAGTCAATTACCACCACATCTTAATTATGCATTTATATTTCATCATACAAATCTTCAAGCTGAATATAATAGAAAACGAGCAATTAGTTCTTCACGTTTTGGATCAAATTGTCAAATAGAATTTGTTAAAAATCTCGATGAACTTTCAAATGAAAATGAATTGAATGAAAAATGGAATATTGTGGTTAAAAAAATACCTGAAAACGTTACTGAAAATGATTTAAAAAATTTATTTTTTAATTTCAATCAATTAAAATATATTTCAGCAAGGAATGTTCAAAAATCAAATACAAATCAGAAAATTTTACTTGGGTAAACATTTCTATTTAACATATTTTATTTTTTATTTTATTCATAATTTAGATATGCATTTTTATCTTTTACAAATACTGAACAAGTTGATCAAGTTATGAACAATTCGGATAAATATCAAATAAATAATCAACCATTGATCTTATCTTATTATAGCAAAATAGAAGCTAATAAATAATTTTTTACATACTTTTTTTTATGTTGTATTATTACAGCCAAATTACTGTGAAGATTTGTTTTTAAATAAATTAGAAAAATCTCGAATTTTAGTAAAGAATATTCGAAATAATTCAAAAGAAAGTTATTGACTTAATATCTTGTTGTTTTGCTTGATATTTGATTAAAACATATTTTAGAAATTTAAAAATGAGAAATGTGCAAAGTATGAGTTTTTGCTTGATTTCGTCTATTCAGAATAAATAATCTATCCAAATGCATTGGTGAATATAAAACGCCGCATGTGTATTAGAAATGATACGAAACAAAGTATTTGATATCTTACTGGTTACTCTTTCAAAAATAATTCTTAAATAAAGAGACACATCTCATTTAGATACAAATCGGTAATACGGCTAGTATATGCAAATTACCTTTATAAATAAAAAAATTATTTCTTCGTCACATCGAAATCAGATACTTAACGCATTTTGCTAGATAAGAACATTATAAAAAGTAGGGAATGAACTAGTTCGCATACGAAAGACTAAAAAGATATAACTCGTTCAAAAGTAATGCTTTGGTATTTATATTTTGATCAATTTTAAGGAACTTAACATGTCTACAATGATTTCGTTTTTTTTCTCGAGTGTTAATCTTCTCGATACTGTTAAGCTTTGTATCAAAGCATGGGACTGATACGTCCTTGAAATGGTCTAAAATAAGATTTTGAGAACGTTTAGAATTCGATTTCTTATTTGAAAAAGTTATTTTCGTAGAAAATCAACATCAGATTCATAATTGTGCGGATATTATCACTTCTCATTCACTCTTTTCATGTGCATCCTTTATACTCTATTTCTTTTGTTTATATACTTACAGTCTGTGTCTTCCATATATCCTTCAATAGTATCCTTATTTTATTATTCTTATTATTCTGTTATGACTCCTTTATCGATATACACGATATATCCTTGTTAGACTAGTACATATATTTTCATCGTATATCGTGAGTGTAGGCTGCATTTCCATCTTATATCTTTCATAAAGCTACAGCCACACAGTTGATGCATCATCACCACTATCTCTGTAGTCTTCTTTCTCAGTCATTTTTCGTTATAATAATCAACATTAAAAACTACATCTGATAGTCTATTTAGAACTAATGAATTGTGTTCGATGATCTTTTATTACGTCTCAAAGAATTAATCAACTCGTCCAGGCAGGTTATAATTCTCATTTAGATTTGCTTTTGCTAAGTAGTAATGACTATGAACGGCAATGATACTAAAATCAACAGTTTTTTTACAAAAATGACACCCTTTTGAAGAAGATAATAATTATAATAAAATATATTAGTATATAAATAACAAAGACCGTAGACAGCAAATGTATTTCTATTAAAATATATTCGTTTGCATATCTATTCGGGAGACAAGTACAAAGATCTTGTTATTCGCTTGTTTGTCTGAAATCATTGTCGTATTCTAACAGATGGGTAATATTTAAAAAAACGATAGATCTCTATGAGGTGGTTGATAATAACTTATAATCTGCTGTTATAGTCTATGAGAATAGCTTGTTGTTTTTGAAAGAGACCCAAGTTATAGATCAGAAAAATTTAATCTGCTGGAAAATTATAAATATTCGATGACGTGTCGACAATTCTGCTGGATCGAAATATAGTAAGATCGCATTAAGAAATTAGTCTCACGAAGTTTTAAATATCGCATCTGTAATATGAAAAATAAAAATATAACTTACTTTAGAATGTAACTGATATCTCGAATTTGTTTCATAAATCAACAAAACAGAATATGGTAAATACAGAAAACTAATATTTTGATATATATATTTTTATGAGTAATACCGAAAATAAATGAGTGTGGTGTTAAATGTCGAATAGGAAAATGTCTAAAAGAAAAGAAGGAAAATATCGAAATGGACAAAGT